CCATCTCTGCCTCCCAATGAGTATTTGTTTCTAGAGTTAAATTAATGAACACCACAGGTTATGACTGACCCCCCTGCTAACTTTTTCCACGGTGCAATGGGGACATGTCACAGTCACCACAGGCCCCCACCTCGCTTCTCTCTTCCCTAAACTGGGCTCTGGGTCTGGCTTTCTGATGTGGCCTAATTTCCTGGGAGGGAAGAGGGTGTTTCTCAGCCTTGAAGTGGCTCCGGAATGACTAGTCCTCCTGCTGCGATCCACTTAAGGCGGAACAAAATAGTTCCCATTTTATAGTTTATGTATGAAAGCCCATTTTACAGATGAAGAAACTGAGCCCGGGAGAAGGTGAATGATTAACCTGCCCTTTGAGGCCTCAGCTGAAGATCAGCTCGTCCTGGAAGCGCTACGTCTCATCACAGATGGCTTAAGAGCCTTCTGCGGGCTCTCACAGTGCCCTGTAACTGCCATTATAGCTCAGATCACTGAACAAACTGACCTGGTCTGAGTCTTTCAGTTGGACTGGTAGCTGCTTCTTGAGAGTAGTAACGGAGTCTGAGTCCCCTTTGTGCCTGCCAACATCGCACAGCAAGGGCCAGGCACTTAATAGGTGCTAATTTTTTATCTGTCTATCAATCTATCAATCATCTATCTATCTATCGTAGTATCACAGCAAGGGCCTGGCACATAATAGGTGCTAATTTTTATGCCTGTCAATCATTTTATCAATCGATCAATCAATCACAACAAAGGCCTGCCACATAATTGGTGCTCATTTTTATCTGTCAATCACAGCAAGGGCCTGGCACATAATAGGTGCTAATTTTTATCAATCAATCATAGCAATAGTCTGGCATATTATAAGTTCTTATTTTAAAAACAGACAGATTTCTATCTATCTGTCTGTCTATATTTAAAGACATGGTCTCACTCTATCACCCAGGCTGGAGCAATGTGGCACAATTTTTTTTTTAGACAGGGTCTTGCCATGTTGCCCAGGCTGCTCTTGAACTCCTGGGCTCAAGCAATCCTCCCATCTCTGCCTCCCAATGAGTATTTGTTTCTAGAGTTAAATTAATGAACACCACAGGTTATGACTGACCCCCCTGCTAACTTTTTCCACGGTGCCATGGGGCTATGACACAGTCACCCATAGGCCCCCATCTTGATTCTCTCTTCCCTAAACTGGGCTCTGGGTCTGGCTTTCTGATGTTGCCTCATTTCCTGGGAGGGAAGAGCCAAGCCCTGTCGGCTGCAGGGATATCTGCCCACCATGGCCCTGGTGCTGATCCTCCAGCTGCTGACCCTCTGTGAGCTGCCCTTTCCTCCTCCCTGGGTTCCTGTCTGGGGTGGGGGGCAGAGAGAGAGGCGGTGGAGACCCACACACCCTGCAGGGGGACCAGCAGCACTAGCTGGGGGTTTGGGATTCTAGGTTCAAATAAAGAACAGGACAGGGGCCCACACCCCTGGGTCCTAAAGCAAGAGAAGACAGATTCTCAAAAGAGGAAGGAGATGGGGACAGGTCTCTCTGGATCCTGAGGCAGGAGGAGGGTAGGGGACAGGGAGGACTCCTAGAATCTCACATGGGATGAGGATGGAAGCCAGGACTCCTAGTTCCCTGGTGAAAGGGGGCTGGGAACAGAGCTCATAGCTCCTGAGTGAAGAGGGAAATGGAGACTCAGATTCCAGAAGAGGAGAAACTGCGATCACTGTCTCCTGAAAAGGGGGAGCTCAAGGGCCTGAACTCTTGGGTGCCCAGGCCAGAGGGGTCTGGGTTCAGACGTCTTCAGTAGCTGGGTAATGGAAGTCTGCATTTCTGCCTGAGACAGGACGAGGGAGGGATAAGATTCTTGTTTCCCAGAGGAGAGAGAAGCTGGGAACTCAGATTCCTGGGATACCAATGAGATGGGGCTGGCCACAAAAGGCTTTGAAAGGAATTAGTTCCTGGCTGAGGTGGCTCACGCCTGTAATCCCAGCACTCTGGGAGGCTGAAGTGGGTGGATCACCTGAGGCCAGGAGTTCAAGACCAGCCTGACCAATATGG